AGTTTTGTTTTGCATCATAAAGCTTTTCTTTAAAGTAATGGTAATATTTGAATATTTGGGTTGTAAAGAGTTAACAGTGTACATAAACTGTTATTCTTACTTTTTTTATTTCTATTCTATTTTTGTTTAATGCGTATTTCTTATCAGTTCTGTTGTATCTGGAGCTGCAGTAATAAGTGATATTTCCCAGTGTGGGATCAAACATTTCTATCTTATCTTGAATATTCTAGCAGTCTTTCCATCCCTGCTGTTGGGTTGTCAGATGTTTTCTACTTTTTTTGTCGTTGTGCCAGTGATGTTTGTCTGTTGGATATTTGCAACACATTTACCAGTGTTCATGGTATTGTGTTTGTGTGTATCCTGTATGTATTCTGGCCCTATCTCAATAGCTAATTGTCTGACAAACTGACATTCCACTGTTGAGAGATTGATACTGTTGATTACCATATGGGGGGAGGTTCATTGTGAACAAAAACTACACAGCAGGTTTCATCTTCATCAGCTGCTGCAGCTCTGCAGTCATGACTGCATTAACATCAGCACGTTTTGTGGCTTTGTTCGCATGTTCATGGATCTTGGTTTTGTGTCAAGGTAAGGTGCCTGTGTGTGTGTGTGTGTGTGGTGTGTGTGTGTGGTGCTTGAGCAGGGATGTGCACAGACACAAAAAATTTTCAAACCAAACGTTGAATATATTAACAAAACTCTGACTTCCTTACAAATTTGTTTTAATTCCTTCAAACTCACACAAATTGTTTCATTCTCAACATTTTCTACAAAATAATCTATTCACACAGAGACCGTGGTCTTTAGTATTTGCAAGGTTTTGACAAAACCAGGGACCAGAAAAGGAAATAATCGTACACTTCAACATCAAATGTTCACACTAAACTGTGACCTTGTGCTGCAGGCATAAAATAAATACTTTTTACCTTTTGTATCACAAGCAGGACTTAGTTTCACATTTTAGGGAAGGCTGTCATGTAAATATCTATCAGCAAACAACAAACTAATAGAATGGAAAGTTAACAGATGAGGAGCCCACGATCAAAATGATGAAGTCACTATTTTAAGCAATACACTTTTTTCTCATTTCATACACATTGAGATGTGTGTTGTTTTAAGCCTACTACCCTCCGTCTGTGGATTTCTTGTAAACCAAAACAAGCTAATCTGCATATTTAAGAGAACATTTCAGAGGAAAAGACTCTCGATGTAAGTCATTAACTGGGGAAGTTCTGTGGTGATTTGCTTTTATTTAGTTTTTCCTATTCCTGCAGTGTCTATCAAATATATGCAAATTAGCTGATTTAATTAGTTAACATCAAAATTTGCATTTCAATGTGGCGACTGTGATGACTTTATTAGACACAAATGTTACTGCCTGTATGTCTCCATTAAGTACAGTACATTACCCTGTATGGGCATGATAGGTTGCCTAAACTTAAGATAAGTTAACTATATTTGGCTCTTTTGGCTAATCAGCTGTGAACTGGAGGCACTGGTAGTTTAGTCTTTTATTAGCCAAGAAAAACACCGCTGGGAGGGGCTGCTGCCTGTCTGTGGGTCTGATGTGCCTGATGTGCCAACATGTGCTGCAGGGAGAGGAGAGAGAGAGAGAGAGAGGAGAGGGAGAGAGAGAGAGAGAGGGAAGGAGAGAGAGAGAGAGAGAGAGAACTGAAGTCAGAACTGAAGAAGTCCTTCGGATGAGGGACGAAACGTCTTCCAGTATCTTCAACCAAGTCCAGCAGGTGTGATTTATTAATAAGCTTTGATTATATTGATTTATGGATTTATCTCTTGGTGAATGGCAGAGACCAACATGTGTCCTCTCCCCTCTCGTGGTGTCTGTCCATGCAGATCCAGCAGCTTCATTTGTCTCTCTGAGAAGTAAAGCAGTTTCATACTGTAGGGACTCTTTCCTCAGTAGAAGTAGTTCAGACACAGTCTGAGTAGAGGACGGACAGACTGGGGACACATTTGGAAAACAAGGACAAAGATTCAAAGCTTCTAGGAAATAATAAACTTCACATGTTTAATATTTCAGCTGTTTGTTCAGGGTCAGAAATGCTGATGTCTGTATTCAGATGGGAAATAATCAATAATCAATAATCTCCAAACAAGCAGAAAGCAGATGAAAGTAAAATGTCTCCTGTCTGATGGTGCGGAGGACGACTTGACTGACAGCTGTAGAAATGAGCAACATGAAGTCAGCGTGCAGCTGCAGCAGAGGAGTTAGTCTCCCTTTCTGCAGCTGGGACTCAAGTTGTCTGAGAACAGGGTTTGAAATGCTGCTGAGTTCACATGTGCTGTTTTATAGAGACCTGATCTCTGCTGCTTCCATCAAAAGATGTTTGAACAACAGGAAACATTACAAGTCCTGACTGGAGGCTTTTCTCTTTCTGCTCAGAGACACAGGAGGTGATGGTGAAGCCTGGAGAGGACGCCACTCTTCAGTGTCAGAGTCACAGAGGGGCTGACATCACAGTGATAAAGTGGATCAGACCTGACCTGAAGTCAGATGATGGTTTTGTCTTCTTCTTCAAAGACGGCCGCTCACATGAAAACTACCAGCATCCATCTTTTCATGGTAGAGTGGAGCTGAGAGATCCAGAGATGAAAAATGGAGATGTGATTTTGAAGAACGTCACCACCAACAATACTGGAACATATGAGTGTCGGGTTAGAGAGGAAAACAGTCCGGGCAAGAGGAACTCATCAGCACCATCAGGCTGACAGTGACAGAGCCAGGTGAGCGTGTAGAGCTCAGAGTGTCTCTTTGTCTCTCAGGTGAGTGTGTAGAGCTCAGAGTGTCTCTTTGTCTCTCAGGTGAGTGTGTAGAGCTCAGAGTGTCTCTTTGTCTCTCAGGTGAGCGTGTAGAGCTCAGAGTGTCTCTTTGTCTCTCAGGTGAAGCTGCTTCCTGGTAGTTGAGCTGAGAAACATCACAGATCAGATGTTTGTGTTTTAGAAAGATGTTGCTGATGAGACTTTAGAGGAAACAGCTGCTACGAGTCATGTGATCAAAGTGCAGTAGATAATGTCTGACATTCTGATACCTCACACCTGTTTCTGCTCTGCAGGTCACACAGCTGGACACAAGGAGGGAGGAGACAAGGAGGGAGGAGACAAGAAGGGAGGAGACAAGGAGGGAAATGTTGGACTGAAAGTTGGTCTGCTAGTTGGTGTGATTTTTCTTCTTCTTCTTCTTCTTCTTGGGTTTGAATGCTGCAAACATCAACTGCCTATGTTCTTCAATTCTTTATTGGGTGTGAATTCTGGAAACAGTCGCAGCCTATGTTCTTCAACACCTTTATTCCTCTTTTTATTATTCCTCCGTCACACTTTTTGGCGTGTCTCTCCTCCCACAGTTTTTGATGTTTAAACTCAGATCACATCAATCGTTCAGTTCAATGAGGACATTATCATTTTATAGTGTTTTTTGTGAGTTAGAGTGTGTGACATTTTTGGTAGAGCCTTGGAAATTTTCTTAAAATGTTTTTTAACTTGCTGCCCTGACCACAAGTTTCACTCTTCATGCATCATTGAACACCAGAAATGTAGAAAATCTTGTGCTGGTTCCTCATATATTAGTCCATCTGAATTATACATTTGGATAAGTGTGCTTCCAATTGACAGGAGTGACACTTAACTCATCCATTAGCAGCAATTATAATTGAAATTTCTGGACAAAAGCAGAACTTACCAATCTGAGGACTCTATGAAATGCTCACATTTTTTAACTTTATCCACACTGATTATTTATAATTTGTTCACAAATGCCTTCTGCTGCTGCTGGTGAGGTCATTTCACAGATGCAACCTTTTGTTACAAGTGTTAACTTGTTACTGAATTGCATAACTGAAATGTCAGCAGGTAAGGTGGGAGACTGCTGGAGGCCTCCTCCAATACAGTCTAGCATGCCAAAAACCTATAGCAATTGCCAGCTACTGGGGTTCATGTCCCCTGTGAAAGAATGTCACAGGGGCTCTGTCTGTTTCTGGCAGCCGTCCACTGTTGGCAGACACTTTCCACATCTTTGACACAATTTTACCACAATATAAGTTAAGTAACAGTCCTGCTTTCAAAATGTTACTATAGTCAAAGTACAAAATAATTAGGTCATTTTAACTACTTAACATAATGTTAGCAGTTAAATCTAAATCAATGTGTTATATATGTAATCTGCGGAGTATTTTTTTCACATATTTGCAATAAGGAAACGAGTAGCTGTTGAATGCTGCTCTGATCCGGAATCAAAAGCAGCTCAACCAACAACACCAACAACATACCAGAGCACTGGCAACGGTCCAGGTAACAGGTTGATTACACGCAAGAGTTATGTCCTCAGGGAGTACATCTCCAGAGCATTTTTGACAGTCCAGTCTGACTATTTACAGTGTAACAGAGACTCTAGACCTCATAGCAGTTATTTTGTTGACTTTTCGACAGCATCCTGCTTCTAAAACAGATGTAACTGAGATCATTAAATCCTGATTAAAAACAGGATAATTGACCTTCCTTAACTGTATCTCCCCAGAGGAAAAATCTTTTGCTCAGAAAAGTATTTTCTTTAACTCTTGAGAAAACACTAAGATCTTAATAGTATTTCCTTTTGAGATCACTCCAATCTGAATTGTTGCTCCTAAAACCCTTTAGGAGAAAAGGATGAGATGAAGAGAGATTGAGGTTTTGAGACTTAGGTAAGACAAATGGATACTGAATTGAGATTACAATAGGATAAATGAAAGTAACAAATGAGATCTCATCATTGTATCTTTGAGTTCATTAATGTCTTGCTTATTGCTCCTAAAAAGCAGTTGGGAGCTCTGGGAAGATGTTTGTGTGCTTGATTGTATTACATTACTGTCTATGATTGGAGAACCATGCTGGATTTGAACCCTGCTCCTGTTGTTCAAAGGGCAACAACACTGCCGCTGCACCACCATACAGCAAAAATAATGCAATAATGAAGGACTTATTGTCTTTAAACAGAGTACAATTTTCCTTTACTTAAAAGAGGAGAAATACCATATCCATATTTAAAGTCCTCAAAATTCTACTCAAGTAAAAGGTATACAAGTATTTTATAGTGAATGTACTTTAGTATCAAAAGTAAAAGTGCCTATTCTGTATGACATGTATACATGTTGTATCTCAGTTCTTGCGTGCATTCGGTCCTTAATGAATTCATCTCTTACAAATATGTAATATGTAATATCAAAGTATTGGGTGTTCCAGTTATGTTGGCTGTGACTACTTTAACAAATTGGAAAGCATGACATTTGAAAGTGCATTATTTTCAATGTCAAAATTTTTTTCCAAAAAAATTTTGTACTTTCAAAAATGTCATGCTTTCCAATTTGTTAAAGTAGTCAATGTTCTGTAACATAATAGAATCCTTCTGTAAGGACGCAACTAGCTCAGTAGCACTCCTGCAGGGTACGTCCCCCCGTTTTACCATCAATACAGGGGTCAAGCATCAGAAATGTTAGCAATCAATATAAAAAAGATCTGATGTTGCCAAACTAAATATGATTATGATTTGATGAGCAAATAGTTACAACTTGCTGATGACACAA